TTCGTTTGAAAATTAAGCAGATCAAAAAAAAAAAAAAATAAAGAAATAGAAAATTACGAATACACATGAAAAAGATTGGATATTGAAGAGTAATTATTATTTGGTAAAAAAATATTTATATTTAATTTGTAAATATGAAAAAAGAATACACCAGCAATAATTATCAAATAATTAAGTTTATGGTTGTCTTCATACTTCGTTTAAAATTCCGAGCATTTTTTATTTCAACCAAATGCAGCTATATTTCAACAATATTTCAGCAATATTTGAATGTTTTGTATATATTAATATATCAATGACAATTCAGCAATATTTTGATAGGAATATTGATGAATATTATACAATTCAGCAATATTTCAGCAAGAATATTTGTGTATAGTAATATTGGAATTTTTTGATATATTAAATATATTACGTAATAACAATATTTTGATGGGAATATTTGTGAATTCAGCAAGTAAATTTGTTGATTATCCTTATTATTTCTTTCTGATTGGTTGCCGACAAGAGGTTCCGAATGGCAGCCAATCGGAAATTGGTTTCAGAATAAAATTGTAAAACAATCAACTGGATTTTAGCCACTTTTCAGCTAGTGAAAACAATTTAAAAAAATATATTTTAACAAAGTTTTCCCATCTCACTTTACAAAAATAATTGACAAAATTCTTTAAATAGTAGAGATAGTACAAATATAGAAGAAACTATATCCAATACAAGCAAAGAGGATATTATTTCAGCAAATACCTTTGAGTTTATATCCATTCAAATTTTATAAATGAATCAAGTGATTAAAGAATCATTCAAGAAAAATAGAAGAAAGTGAAGAAAGTAAAAGAAGAAAATGAAGAAAATAAATGGGAAGAAATAGAAAAAAGCTGATAAAGTGATCAGGAAGAAATAGACAAAAGTAAATGCTGAGGTTACACTCAGGCAATGGTAAAAATATATTTTTAGTCAGTTTCGATAAATATAAAATAAATTATCTGTATTTTTAAAATTTACACTTAATCTATTAATAAAAGTTTTTGGGACAAGACCTGTTGGATTTTTTTTTTAAAAAAAGGACAAAAGTAAATTGACAAAAGTGAACATGGAGAAATATAAATTATGAAAAATATACAAAATGTAGTAGAAGGTGGAAGAAACAAAAACTGATTATTAGTTGCAATCCGAAGATCATGGTACATATTTATTTTCAGAGCTTTATTGAAACATTTTCAATTGAATTAATTAATATTTGATTATTACTAAGTATATGATAATTTTCAGTAACATTCTTACGTTTAATCTGAAGATGTAATAGGAAATATTCATTGATTACAATCATTATGTTATCGAATTTCACTTCAGACATTAGTATTCTTATTAAAAATATGAATATTCCTTTAACTAATAAAATTTTATATATTTTGGATGAGACTTCAGGACTGAATCAGGATCAAAATATTTTTATTAAATGTATAGCAAGAACCATCACTCTTTGGTTAATCTTTGATATAAATGAATTAAGTTTAGTATTTTTTTTATTTATTTTAAAATAATTATTTATATTATTATTATTAAGATGCATTTAGAATTATTTATAACAGGGTCTTTTGTTAAATGTAAAGACAAAAGTATACAAATTGGAAGAATGGTATTAAATTAAGATTCTTTATTATAGTTTTAACTACTAGGAAATTTTATAAGTTCATCAATAATCGAGAGATTGCAGAATAAAAATTATAGTTAAGTGAAATAGTAATTTTTTTATAATATTCCAAGAATAATAAATAATTATTTATTTCATGTTTATAGCTGTGAAGATAAATGGAAGATTAAGTATATCAAATTGTGATGATGATTTTGAAACTTTTCACAGCATATATTATTTTTGGATGGTACTGTATTTATTTTATTTTTGCAATATGTTATTGAAAATCAATTTGTTTAAATTTGTTTTATTTGGAGAATTTAATAAATAATAGAACCAATTATCAAAGAAAATAAATCAGCTAATTTTCCTCAAGGAAATGCTTTTGCAAATACCAAAAAGACATGGAATATAGAAATTATTTAATACAAAAGAACAATACTTTTGATATTAAATTTAAAATTCACATAATTATTTCACAAATTTGAAAATAGGTAAATTAAATAATTAATATGAAAAGGTATTTTACGGTTAAATAATTATATTATAGAATGATATATGTACTTATATAATTAATGTATAAATGTAATAATAATATATTTCTTATTTCGATTTTATATAGTTACAATTTTTTATACAATATAGTAATCGCATGACACTATGCTTTAACAATGCATTGTATCATGAAAATAACAATGTCAATAACAATGAAAAAATTCGTAAACAAATAGGTAAATGCTGACATACAACTCACAAGGTGAGACAATTCTAATTTAATGAATATAAAAAAATAAAAAACGAGTCGAGTTTATTTTCTTCGGATGTTTATACTTTTAGCGAAAGGGTAAGTGATACGTGAAATGCACGTACAAATTTACTATCGTTTAATTCATAGAATTCATTATTATTATCTTTTTTAAAAAAAATTTCTGCTTTATCGAAATAATAATAGAAAAATGAAGTTAATAAAATTAAATATCGAATATTTTATTTATTTTCTTATTGTCTCACAGTTGTGGATATATTCAATTCATTCTTTTCAACCACCAAATATATATGGCCACTCAACTGCTTTAAATGATAAAAAACTTCATTTTATTGGAGGATATGAACTTACAACAGAAGACTTTTCATCTTTCTTTTATCTTGATTTAAATCAACCCTTTGACATATCATCTCCTGCATATGTTAATCTTGAAGCTCCGCCAGTAGGAATTGGATTCGCAACTGCCTGCGTAGGAGGAGCAAATAATGCTACAATTTTTGTATTTGGAGGATTAAATTGGTATGATAACTCAACATCTGAAATTATGGATAAATTAATTAATACATTTGATAAAGAATGGTCAACTCCACAAATCGAAGGAGAACCAATTAGACGTCGAGATATACAAGCAGTTATTGATACTAAAGAAAATATGTATATATTTGGAGGAGGATATAAACTCTATAATCATACCGAATATTTTAAAGATATGATTATTTTTAATACAATAACTTTTACATATTCAAATGGTTCAACTATTAATGGACCACCAAATATGTTCGGTTATACTGCAACATTATTACCAAATGATATTATAATCTATATAGGAGGCAGAACCTGGAGTGCAAATACAAATGTTACTACTATTCCAATTAAGAATGTAAGCTTTATTAATATTTTTATAAATTTATTCGTCAGTAAATATTTTTATTTATTTATTTTTTAATCAGATTACCATGTATGATATAAATGAAGATTCTTGGAATTCCACTGTAAATTATTTCATTAATAAAATTGCAATTGATTTTTTAAAATATTATTATAAAGATAGATAATAATAAGAGATAATTGTAATAGATTGCTAAATCACCAAATGATATTGAAGATCGAGGTTATCATACAGCTATTCTGAGTACGAATAAGGATTTCTTTCTTTAATTACTCTTTTTCTTTACAATTAATCTAATTAATCTCTCTTCTTTTTATTATTATTATAGCATCAGATGGCCGTATAATATGTTATGGAGGCGTAACATTGTCTCACACAGCTATAAATCCTTCTCTTATAGTATTAAATACAACTTCGTTTGAATGGCGTTCTCCAGAACATTTTGGTACGAATGAACCACCTAATCTTAGTTATCATTCAGCAAATTTGGTTGAAAATTATATGATAATTGGATTTGGTAAACTTATTAATATTTTTTTAATAAATCATGTAAATATGTAATCCATTATTCTTTAAAAATAATTTATTAATTAAAAAAAAACATCTTTTTCATAATTATTATTTCGTTGAATAGGAAACATTACTAATGATTACTCATCACCAAAAAACACTAGTTCAAGTATATATATACTTGATGTAAATAATTATACTTGGATTTCTTATTATGAAGCATCTGAACTATCACCATCAAACATATAAGACCAACCTAAACAACCTTTTTCAGTAAGAGCAATTGTAGGAATAACTATTGGGTTTACAATTGTCTTACTACTTCTATTATTCTTTGGAATACGTTATTATAAAAATAGAAGTCCTGATTTTTATGTATCTGGATCCAAATAATAGAACACTTTAACACTGCAGGGTTCTATCATCCTCAATTTTGCAAAAATAAGTCGTTGTCGTTAAGGTAAAATGCCTTCCTTTGCCCGAATTAAATTTTCTCAATTTTTTTCAGTAGTGAAACTTGATTCAGCTTTCAAAGTAGTAGTCTTCCCAGTTAAATTTCTCACAAAAATCTGATGACTGCCACTTCCTACAATTTATATTACAAGTTACAAATGTTTTTTGAATCATCTTGAAAATCATCTAACTTTTTTTAAAAAGTGTCATCAAAAATGGAATGACTGATGATTCATTATACTTAATATTTATTTAAATTTGAACTTACATATGTTTTATATTATTTATATATATATATATGTATTTTTCATTTTCTCATTTTTATGTAATATTTTGCCCAATAAAAGCTGTTTATTGTTTATTATTTCTAATAGACAAATTATCATATGGGCTGATTTGATTCCATTCAATTTTGTCACATATTTGAAATATGTGATAGTTGAGAATATATATACAGGCCAATCAAAATTATTTTCCTAGATCTTAAAAACAAAATATTCGTGATGTTTATTATATTTACAATGGCATTTATATGTTGTCTTTGTCACGAAACTTAATTCATGAAAGAAATAAACACAAAAATAATAAAATTATACCCCACTTGCATTTACTTTTTCAATCTTCTTTTGAACAACTTACATCCTACCATGATGCATTTATAATTCTCATCAAAAAGCATTAGGTTTTAACAGATATTCTGTAGGGCTCAAGTGATTTTTAATAAATGTTTTTCCTGAGAATATCTCTATTCATTTATTCCAAGGTGAACCTACTTTTAGATATAACTCAGTATTGCAAAAATATTGTTGTCCTTTAAAGGTGAAATGGGGAATCAAGGTTGAAACAAATTTTAGACTATGACCATTGGAGCTGTCAACAGGACCCTAAAACAAGAAAACAAGATATGTACTACTTACTTGTTAAATATGAAGAGAGTTATGAAATTTCATTTATTTGAACCATACTTGCATGCAAAATCAAAGTGTAACCTTGAGATTAATTTTGGAAAATAAAGTCAAAACAGTTTTTCATAGAAGATGAAATTCTTTATATAGAAGGCAAAGTTTTTTGAAGCTTGATTTCTATTCTTTGATTAAAAATACACTTAATTGGATACTTTTTACTTCTATATATATAATAGATTTTGCATAAAGTTTGAGGGAATGAAATACCTCAAAAATTCAAATCAATTTTGGGAACATGTATAATTTGGACAAGCAGAATTGGTTGAAAATATTAGATTATTTCAGTTACCTGCACATTTACAATGGATTCGAGAGAATTTACTGAAAAGTAAGATTATAATGCTAAGTTTCAAATATAATTTTTATAATTTTTATAATTTTACAAGAATTAAGTAATTTTTTTATTAGAAAAAATGATAAAGTTGAACAATTATTTGAAAATCATACTGTAATATCCAAAACAAAATATAATAAAAATAATAATCAATTAAAATATAGGCATATATTATCATGCTCTACTCTTCAACAATTAATTTTAAATCAATAAAAAATAACAATATTTATAATCATAATAGATGTTTGATCATTAGATAAATGTAATAAATTTTAAAGCATAGAATTTATGTTATTAAAAGATTATATATAAATATATCTAAATTTGAACAAACATATGAACTTTATTGAAAAATTTTTGTTTTTATTATAATTATATTCTTTCTTTCTACAATTTAATTTTTTTCATCCATGTTTCTTGATTTAATTTCTTTAGGCATTTTATTGATTAAATAAAATAATTGATGATTCTCAAATGACATTATTTTATATACAACGGATCATTCATCTATTCTGTATTGACATCCATTATTATACCTCCAAAAAATATGCATATCTAAATTAAATTAACTAATCAATTAATAATGAAATAATTAATTAATTAATAAAATTATTTACATGATTATGATTCTTTTTTTCTATACTGGAACTTGAAAAAATTGTAATGGTAAGGAGATGTTAACCAAAGACATGCATATATGGTGTAACATCTTGTTTTCTGTATAAACCAGGAATTGAAGTAGATGAATTAAAATTTCTTGAGTTGGTTGATAAAAGGTACTGTCGCAGTTGGCACAGAACAATATGTAAAGCTATGTCAATTAGTCTCACTAATTTCAAGCTCTTGCTGCACCACAACTGTATAACCCAACGTACTTACGATTCCCTCGTGTCGTACGTAATACTTCGAAGTTCCTCTCTATTC